CAAGACCCAAGGGGAAGGGGGGAAAAAAAAAAAAAAAAAAGAGGTTCTAGAGTCCTTGGGCTGCGACAGCCTCAAGAGAAGACTCAACACTGTGTCCCCAGCACAAACACATAGCCCCTAGCCTACAGCGTATCTAGCCTCAGACTCTGGCGTGCTCCAAGGATGCAGTTAAAGCCCTCCCGACCTCGACCAAGAACAGATGGTGTTTTCATATCAAGGAGCTGCTGCAGTTCCTGCTCAAAACCAAAGCTCCTCTCTTGGCACCCTGCTGGGACAGAGCAGGAACTCGTGCTCCCCTGCAAACCCGTGCCCACGTCCTTACAAAACTGGACAAAACAGCCGGCAGGGCCAGCCCAGCACTCACAGCCTCACCCCAACAGGGCTGCAGCACTGCACGTGGAGCAGCCTGCTCCCAGCACGAGGGGGACAGCCCCAGGTCATGACTCCCCTGCCCAGCTCCGTCTCGAAGGCCAAAGGCCCAGATTCCCATCCCTCTGAACCCAAATGAAACGTGCATCACGTACACGGATGATGGAGTTCAGTTCTGGTGCCGTAACCTGCTTGGCTCGTTCAATGGCTCCCAGGACTTGCTGCTGATGCTGGTGTGGAGAGAACAGAGGAATTCAGGGTCATTTCTAGGATCGCAGGGAAGGAGAACAGGGACCCAGCCTTGCTGGGTCTGACACACACACACGCACGCGTACGGTATCTCAGCTGCTAGCACCGAGATGCCAGGGCACAAAGGCAGGCTGGTTAACCCCACAGCTGGGGACACCTGCACGCACTTCATTTGCGACAAGGACCTTACACCCCTGGGGCCAGCAGCGGGGAGGAGCAGGGAAGGAGGCCCACTCCTTTCGTTCCAGTTCCTCACCACAGGGTTAAGCGGGTCCCCTCTTACTCCCATCCTTGTCCTGCTCTGCACAGGCGCAGCGACCATTGGCTAGAAGGGCTCTAAGGTGGGCAATGCCTCTCACCCTGCCTTCCCTCTCCTACTCAGACCTGACACAAAATGAGACCCCCTAACAAACAAAACAAGCCCTAAAATCAGAAGCTCTTGGGAAGCTCCCCACTCCTTGGGACGCATCCTAGGTCCCAACTGGAGCAGCTGGAAGATGCTGCTGTGGAAGAGCCCAGCACGGCTGCTCCAAACACAGGCAGGAAAAACAGCTGTATCGCATATTTTAAAAAATAAAGGACAACTGTACTTGCTCCTTTGAGACCACAAGGTCTCTGAACACCAGGTCTGTTCATTGCACTCCAGCCAGTAGATTTTTCTTTCCATCTTGGCAGCAGAACAGGGTTGGGAAGGGGTTAACACTAAGATGCAAAAGGTTTAGTCGTGGCTTGGTTATTAGGCAGCTCTGATGTGATCAGCAAGCCACTTTGTCTTTCCCGAGAACAGGTGGGTGAGAAAAACACAGCCTGTTCCCAACCCCACGTCTAACCCAGACCGAGAAACACAGCCTCCACCCCACAGCTAGTCCTGACCAAAAAAACCAGCCACGGGAACAGCCGTGGAGTTTAGTCTCTGCAGGGTTGTGTGGGGAGATGGACAGATACAGCACTAGAGGTGCTTCATCTTCCTCCTGCCTCAGGCAGACACTCCCAAGTCCTCCCAATTAATTTCTGAGGGGAGTGGGAGGAGCCCATCAGCTGCATTAATTAATGAAGCAGAGGAACCAGATCTCAAGGACGAGCCATATGGAGGCATTTTTTTAAATGCCCCCCCCTCCCCCAATTAGCCACCCAAAGCTCCCACCGCCCGTGCAGAAGTGGCTGATGACTCAGTAATCACAGGCGGGAGAGAACAGAGCCCATCTTTGTCCACAGCCACCAACGAAGGGGACGGATGGGCATGTTAACCACCGCCCAGTTCCTGGAGGGGCTGCTCGAAGGCCTCATCCCCACGCAGGGGCTGAGAGCGAGCGACGAGGCTTCCCAGACCAGGGGAGAGGAGCTGCCCACGCAGGGGGGGGAACCGTGGCACCTCACTGCCCCGCAACGGGATGGGGGCCTCTGCTCTCCACTGCCAATGTGTCCTTGAGCCGGGGCCGAGAGGGGGGACTCACCTCTTGCGAAAGGTAGGGCAGAACCTGTGCGCAAATCCCATTTAGCCTCTTGACGATTTCAGCCTAGAAGGTGGGAAGAATGGAGAGGAAAGGCATCAGGTGGCTCGGGACTGACCACCCTCAGCACCGGCTGCCCCATCTTTCCCCTCCACAGGCAGGGCCAGAACCCCTGAACGACCCTACAAAAACACACTTCCCTCAAAGATGCTGGCAGCGTCCTGGTGCCATGGAGGGGGGTGGTGTGTCACCTCGTCCCCAAGGCCCCTCCCTACAGTTAAATGAATCAATGCTGCTGACTGCAGAGAGTGGGTTTTCAATATTCTCTTCCCTCTCCGGGTCTCCGATACTCATTTAACGAAGTCGGGAGCAACCAGAGAGGAAACTTATTATAGACCCAGGTGGGGATGTATTGAATTACATTTGCCACGTGGACACAGACACATGCTGCCACCGCTGAGACCCCTGCTCTGCCCCGGAGACCGGCTGCTCAGCCTCCTCGGACTCTCCCTCCCCAAAGGCAAGGGTCTGCTCGCTGCCAGCCTGCCCGCAGCCGAGCTGCAGGACTGGGGCTATTCAGGGAGACCACAGGGACTGCGCAACTTCTTCACTAGCCTCATACAAGCAGGTGGCAAGTTTTGGGGTGTTAAATGCTTTTCTCTTGGGAAAGATTAAAGCTACCAGCCCTTTGTAAATCCCTTTCCAATGGAGTCGAAAGAAAGAGAGAGTCAAAGGGTTCAGGCATGCACCAAAACCGGCCAAGGGGCCCCACCGGCACCATGGGGGAGCAGACTAGGCTGGGAGACAGTTCACGGGACAACAGTGAGGATTCATGGCTCAGATCCTTTACCATGATGCAGGTTTCCCCAGGGAAGCCAGTCTTGTGGGCTTACCAACAAGGGTGATGGGACTGGAGGCACCAAGTGCCTTTGTGGGGAGCAGAATTGTGTTAAGAGGCTTATAACTTGAGCCACGCCACACAGACGACTTTGTGACTGGAAGCTGAAGCCAGATAGAGCCAGGCTCAGAGAAGGCTCATGTTGTTAACAGCACAGGTAATTAGCCACTGGGGATAATTAACAACTTAACCACCACTGAGGGTAATGAACAAGCTTATCCAGGCTGCAGCAGAGTCTCCATCATAAGAAGGCTTTCTTAGAAGGTCTACCATTACATTAACCTAATCACAGCCCAAGAGAAGTGCACTCTGGCCTGACTGCAGCAAGGGCCTGGGGGGACCCAAAGGCTTTTTTCATGTCAGGGTGATCACAAGAGCCCTCCCAGGCACTGGGGAAGGCAGCAGGGCCAGGAACCCAGCTGGGGCCTGGGAGGAGAGCTGGGAGGGACCTGGGGTCATCTCCTGCACTCCACCCTGGGTTTGCATCTGCTGACTAAGACACAGCTCCAGGCCTTGTCTGCACTGCCTCGTCCAGTGCTTAAATACCTGTTCAGGTGCTGGGGAGAACCAGAGCGTGCCCACAGCCCAGAGTGGGAGCCCTCAGTCCAGCACTGTGATCCTGAGAGGTATGTGTGTGGGGCGTCCCCCGCATTTCGAAAGCGGCTCTGACATTTTACAGGCTCATGGCATTTCTAGTTCCTGAAATACCACTGAAGTGACAGAGGGCAAAGCACAGCAGACAACCCACCCTCCCCAAATTAGAGCACTTGGAAATGCCTTCCCCCTACCTGTTTGTGCATTTCAATATTGAGCCCGTAGGACATCTCATAATACTGCAGAGCAGGAGAGAAGAGAAAAAAAAAAAAGAAATTGTAAGTTGAGGCTCGGTACGGCAGTGCTGTGAACTACTGCTGCTTTCCTAGCAATGTCTTCTACAAAGGCTGGGCAAGGATGGAAGGAGAGGAGAGGCCAGCCCTAGGAAACAATGACAGCAGGCGGCAAACACAGACAAAGATCCTCTCCAGGTCTAGGGCAGAAGTACAGAGGCCAGGTGCTCCCTGTCCACCCTGCTCCAACCTCACACTGCTGCAGATGGAGACCCAGGAACTTGCTGACTGGGCCCCATGCAACACCCCTCACAGACACCTTTCAGCAGTCTGCATCAAGGTGAGAGTGAGTGATGCTGCTTCAAACCTAGAAGGCGGCTCAGGGCTCCACAGACTTCCATACCCACAGCCAAAAAAGAGGCAGCCTGACTCTACAAAGCTTTGCCGGCCAATATCCTAAAGCCCATGCGGCTGCTTCAGCCACAACTTCAGCCCAACTACTGGGCTTCATCTAGCAAGTAACACATCCAGCTGCACACAGCTCCAGCTGTTTTGGAAGAAACTGTGTGGAAAAAAACCCCCCACACACCAAAAAAAAACCCACCCAGAAAACCCCTGCACAGCAGCAACAGGCAGCTACAAGAGCAACCTATTGGCAGGAGAAGCTAATTCCTGACCCCTGGAAGAAGCTGTTTTAAGCCTGATGTTTGAGAGTTTAGAAATCTCCTCCCTCAGCTTGCAGGCTGCAATCCTGATTCCTCTAAAGGAAAAGAGAAATCCACATCTGCATTCACTGAATTCAAGGAGAAGATCACAGGCGTTTTGGTACCGACACCACTAGTCTGAGAAGCACCCAGCTTGGTATTGCCATGATCTCAGTCTGCTCTAACACTGCTGACGGCTCTCAAGGCTTCTTTGCATTCTGAAGACTGAGCAGGAAGCAGGAGCCCGACCCCCGAGCTGCTAATTGTGACTTATTCAAAAATCAGAGCAGCTGTAGCAGCTTTGCACATTCACAGAAACCCTCCTCTTCACTTCCCATGACTCGCTGTGGTGGGGAGTAACAGCAGCTCTGTGCGACTCCAGCTCAGCCACACAGACAAGGCAGGAGCTGCTGCGCCTGCAAAGCCTCGAGTGCTGCACAATGAGCAACAGCCCTTCCCCTCTGCTGCCGACCCGCTGATGGTAACCTGAATCAATTCTGGTGACTGTCAGCATTAAAGAAAAAAAAAAATCTCAGACACACCTGGAGATGAGAGTCTCCATGCAGGCTGCAAGGCCCAGGAAGCAATCATTTATCAGTGAGAATGGGGCAGGCTTCTCCATTAAAATACAAGGAAAGCTGTGACCTCTTCTCCTTATCCCCAGCCCCAAGCACGCCTTGTTCCCCATAGCCTCAGAGTCTGGGCACACGGGCAGTACGAGAGGATGGAGGGGCCAGCTCCCTTTTTTTTTCTGGTTTTAAAGCCCTACCTCTGCTCTGAAGAGCTGCTGTATTAATTTCTACATCTTATCTCTTCCTTCCAGGGCAGGTGCAGCAGCTGGCAAGCAGGCACCAGCTCATCTTTATGGACAGTATCACAACCTCCTGTTAACTCCTTGATAGGAAAGGAACAGACTATAGCCTTGCCTGGCATCCTTCCCCTCTGCTACAAGGGCTCTTCCACGCGTGGGAAGACAGAGGCATTACCTGGCAAGCAAACCATCACCTGCCTACAAGAACATGGCTGTTTCCTGGCAGATTTCTTTCAGAGTTACAGCTAGACCTGCTGCCCGCGTGTGGCACCACGTCTCACGTCTTTACCAGGCACTGCCCTGGGATTTGCACGCTTCGTGCTGGGACACACGCACCGGTGAGACGTGCTAGCACTTAGCACCATGGCTCCGCAAGGCTGCCAGGGTCACGAGAAGGTGCAGAGGATTTAGTTCTCGCACAGCAGCTGGTTTCTGCTTCCAACTCCCACCAGGCTTGTGCAGTTTCCCAGCTTCACAATTTCTCAGAGCACTGCTTTGTCTTGTGCTGGCCATGACTCTCCCAGAGCCCCCAGACCGCACACCAGCACTTTGCAGCTCCTTCTGGGGTGCACAAGAGCTCTCACTTCCCCCGAGGCACAGGGAGCACAGTCAAGCGGCCAGTCAGTGGCAAGGCCAAGGACCGCACCACCACCCGTCACGCAGTCAGCCACCAGGCCCTTCGGTTTTCCACGTCCAACAATTTTCTGCTACTTCCCGCATTTCAACAATCCACTGCATGCAGACAACACAAAATATAAAAAAAGCTCCACTTCCAGAAAAGCCAATGCCAGCCTTGTGTAGAGACCCGCCGCTCCACCGAGCGAAGGCTCCCTGCCAGGCAAAACCCAGGCACAGGCACCTGCTGACCGCTGGAGTCCCCACCCGCGCCACCCACGCGCTCTTGGCTGCTGGGGCCGGTCCTTACCATGACGTAGTGACGCTGCATCTCCGATTTCTCACTGGCTAGTTTGTCACATTCCAACTTCAAGCTGAAAAGCCAGAAAACAGTAAGAAAACCACGAACGGGAGGTGAAAGAGTTGATCACCACGGAGCAGCTGCTTCCTGCACGGCCCCATCCCAGCCAGGCTGGCTTCTCAGACATCACCGTCCAGACTGCAAGGGGCGGTTGGAGCTGGGCCGCACTGTGCTGGCGCAGCGGTAACTGCGACAGAGCTCGCTCCCAACTTCCCAGCCGGAGTTCCACTAACCCACGTTCAGAAGCAGCACAAGGCTATCCACCAGCTGGACACCGACCTCCCCCAGGCAAATCCTCCCGGCGGGAAGCAGAAAGCTGGGCAGAAGCAGAGGTGGCTGCCTAGGGAGGGGTTTCCCTTTCCTCAAGGGATCGCTGGCAGCTGGGGACAGCTTCTAGCATGGGTTTGTCTGCAGCACTTGAGATGCCGCAGTACAACTTCAAAACCAAAGCCATATCCATTTCTGGATAGTGGTGGTGGTGGTGGGAGGCCCAAGTGCAGCACATCCCTCCAGAAGAAAGGATTTTTTCTCTCCCCTAGGTTCTTCACACCCTTCAGAGAAAGTGCCGCTGCTCCCAGTGTTTTATGGGACTCCGACTCACCAGCCGACCAACTGCAGCCGGCATGTGCTGTGGTTTTATGTTTCAAACGAGAAACAGCTTCACCTACAAAACCCCTGCTTTTTCTCGAGCAGATGAAGTCTAAGGGGGTGGAGTAGGGTGGGGGGATAGCCTCCCTTCCAGTGGCCTGTTTCTTGAGCTCCCCTACTCCCTCACCAGCACTGCCCAGAGACACGGGGACACCAGGAAAAGCCATTTCCCAGCAGTTCTTCTGCCTGCTCCTGCCAGAACGACACCACCTCAAACCTGCGACCCAGCCACCCGGCAGAGCCCGGGCTGGGGGGGAAGGCAGATCGGGAAGCTGCAGCCGCACGGCGCCGAGGCACGTGCCACAAGCGGCACCTCGCAGCCTGCCAGGCCATGGCAGAGGGCATCACCCAGCGGATTTAACCCAAGAGCTTCACGTTTATTTCAGACACACACACAGACCAACAGTCACAAGCCAGCTTTTGGGTCAGGAGAAGTATTTCCACACACACCCACAGAAAAGCGGAAGCTTTTGGATTTAAAGTGCTCCCTGCAGCATTTGCCGTCCAAGAATGGCAGCCAGCAAGATGAACCGAGGAAAACTCCCAGCAAGACACGGGAGGCCTGGCAAGCCTCCGCGCGGTCCTGGCCGAGCAGCGCTCAGAGGAAAGACCTTGGCTGGAAAGAGAAGACGCACGTTCTCCTCGCTGGGCTCCCAAGCGGACACAACTAACCCCCGGCCTTAGGTCCTCCTCTAGCCAAAGGTGACCCAAGCTATGCGACCGGGCGCCCTCCTTGGCGTCCCCGTTTGGTCTGCGCAGCAAAGCAACGAAGCAGAAGAATCGGAGCGATTCTTGCGTGCTGTGTCAGCTGTGCCAGCCCAGCGGAGGCTGCGGGGCAGAGCCGGGCCGGGCCCACAGGAGCACATACCTGTGGTACTGGGCCTGCAGGAGCTGGAACTCGTCCTTGATGCGGTCGCAGGAGTCGGAGGTCGTGAACTTCAGCTGCTGCGGCAGGTGAGAGGAGCCCTTGAACAACAG